TTCTGGCTCTCATCAGCACACACACCACACACACTGAGCGCAGGGCCGCGAACAGTACCTCTCTCGCTCGCTCTGACCAGACACACTCCCTCTCTGACAGTTCTCCTCTCTCTCCCTCTCTCTTCTGTCACACACACAACACCAACACGCACACTCTATCTTCCTCTCCACAACACACACCCCCGACACCGCGACACACCTCTCGCTCTCTCTCTCTTTCTCTCTCGCTCGCTCTCTCTCGCTCTTCTCTCTCGTCGCTCTCTCTCTCTCTCTCTTCTCCTCTGACACATTACACACTGCCCTCTGCTCGCTCTCTCTCTGGTTCTCTCTTCTCTACTGTTCTCTCTCTCTCAAATCTCTCTCTGTCACACACACACACACCAAAACACCTCATACTCTCTCTCTCTCTGTCCACACACCGCGCGGCACAACACCTCTCTCTCTCTCTCTCTCTCTGGCACATAAACACATTCCCTCTGCGTTTCTCTCCTGTGTCACACACACAACAAAAACACGCGCACACCTGCTCTCTCGTCTCTCTCTCGTCTCTCTCTCTTTCTCTCACACACACACACACACACATCACACACACACACACACACAACAACACAAACACGCACAATTCTCTCTCTCTCTCGCATCGCTCTCGTCTCACACACACACACCACATACACAACGCCGCACACCTCTCTCTCTCTCTGTGGTGTCACACACACAACACAAACACGCACACCTTCCGATCTCTCTCTCACACACACAACACACACACGCACCTGCTCTCTTCGATACATACAACACTCCCTCGCAGGTCATCTCGCTCTCACAAACACACACCACGCACACACAACACCTTGCTGTTCTTCTGAACGCATACACATGCCTCTCTGATCTGGTTCTCTCTCTCTCTCTCTGTCACACACACGAAAAAACACCTCTCATCTTCTCCTCATCTCTCTCAAACACACACACAGCAACATACGCGCGCACACACCTCTCTCCTCTCTCATCTCTCTCGTCTCTCTCTCTGAACAGGTAACACTCCCTCGGGTTCTCTCTCTGTGTCACCCCACACACACAACACAAACACGCACACCGTCTCTCAAACACACACACACACACACACACACACACACACAACACAAACACAGCACACGCTCGACTCAGCACACACAATCACATACACACGCGCACCCCTCTCTCGGCTCTCTCTCTCTCACCCACACACCCACACACACACCTCTCTCTTCTTCTCTTCTCTCTTCTCTCTCTCTCTCGCTTCTCTCTCTTTCTCTCTCTCTCTCGTCTCTCTCTCTTTGGCACACACACAACACAAACCCGCACACCTTCTCTCTCTCGCTCGCTCTCTCTCTCGCCTCTTCTCTCTCTCGCTCTTCTTGCTCACACAACAACACCTTCGTCTCTCTGACACAGTACACACTCCCTCTCTGCCGTTTCCTCTCTCGTTCTCACACAACACACGCGCAACGCTCTCGCCCTCTCTCTACTCTCTCGAGACACATCCGTACACCCCCCTCTCGCTCTACACGCACACACACGCACACACACACACCACGCACAACACACACACACCACAACACACACACACACGCACACATACACACACACACACACACACACACACACACACACACACAACACACAACACACACAACACACACCACACATCTCTCCCAACACACACATACACGACGCGCACGCCTCTCTACTCTCAGACACATACACACTCCTCTCTGGTTCTCTTCAGATTTGTGAGACACACCAAAAGCTATAGGCGTAAGTATCCAGGTCAGTGATAGGTGTAGGTACAAAGGAATCTATTATTTGTTTCGTAGCGTTGCCTTATGGAGCCAATGCACCACACAGGGGATGAAAGAACTTACTGTCTGTATGACTGATTTCTACCAGTCGTTAAGTGTTTAAAGCCCACTAGTTTATCAACACGTTCACACCTGACACGCGGACGGACTTGACAACATACACGCAGGGACGCTGAGTTGGCGCCACGAGAGAATTACTCCTGCGATGTAGACAGGGAGGACAAGAGTAGAGTGACACAGAAAGAGAGAGAGAGTCGAGGAGGAACAAATGAGAGAGAGAGGGACAATCGAGAGATCGGGAAGAAGAGGGCCGAGAGATGCGAGGGAGTGATCGGTGAAGCGAGACAGAGGGAGAGAGAGTGGGAGAGCAAGCGAAACGATAGATAATAGACAGAGAGACTGTATTATGTCATCTATAATTAGACATTGAGTATGTATAGGCCCGCCTGTAACTCTCGCACGTGACGACGACACAGCACACCCTATATAAAGAGATGGTTGCACGCGCGCAGTGCACATGTGTGTGTGTTGTGTTTGCGGTGTGTGATGCTTTTTTTATTTATGCTTAGAATAGTATATATCACAATTAATGAAAAAAATATATAGGTATATATATGTAGTAAAAAGGTATGTAATATCAGTCAATATGTATGTAGTACTGGAATAAAGGATTAGTAACACACACACACACACATATATATATAATATATATTTATATATAGATATAATTATATATAATATATGTGGGGTTGTGGGTGTGGGGTGTTACTAATCTAGACTAGAGGTTAATGCGCAACACAACATGGTTGTATAGTGCACATTGGTGCTTGATGCTGTAACAAGTTTAAACGATGCGACGGCCACCCGTAAACTATTAGGTAAATGAGAACCCTTTGGTAAAACTATCACAGAGATTGCCAACATGTTCTGAAGCAACTGTATAGGAAGGATGGTCTGAAATCTGTAGTCCCGGTTTCTGTTTCGCCCGTTCGCGTGTAAGGTGTGAAGGGGTGGTTTACCATGCACTCAGCGACGGTAAACCAGAACCAGTTATATCTAGCATTCGTATCCTTCACGGGGCAAAAACTAGGTACATGGAATTGGCGTCAACAAATAGGAGAACTCGGCGTTGTAATTATACCCGGCAAAAATAAAAGCAGAGAGAACAGGTGGGGAGAGAAAGAGAGCCAATACAGGGAATTTATTTAAGTGGACAAAGACAGAGAGAGAGAGAGAGAGAGAGCAGAGAGAGAGAGAGAGAGAGGGAGAGAGTGAGAGATACGAGACAGACACACGCACACGCACGCGCACAGACACAGTATAT